AAATGTCTGATAACCAGGATCAGGATTTAAACATGATGTTTGGGTGTACTGTAACAAATCTTGACAGTCTAATACATCTGATATTTTGTGTCAACATACTGAACCTCTGGGTGAATCTGGGGGCTGTGTAACACATTTTGGGGTCATCAGATCCTGTTTAGGGCTCCAACAAGGTTTCTGTGGACCCTGAATATTTGTGTCATGTTACTGAGAGGAAGGAGAACTAAAGTGTCCTGAGATGTAAAGCTTGTTGTAATGAATGAGTGCAGCTCTCTCAGCATGTTGTTGTGTTTGTGTGAAGGTGTGGGCTCTGCTATGAATCAGTGTGAGGACAGAGAGGAGGGAGTCCCTCCCTCTAAAAGCACTCTGTGTGGGGAACATGACAGCCAGACCAAAGCTCAGAGGTGAGATGAGGATCTCTAACTGTCCAGGACTCAAATCACTCCACCATCATTATTCACTCTCAAAGCTCTGTGTGTGTTGTGTTGAAGCCCAGAGCAGCAGCAGGGACCAGACTCTGCTGGACCTGGACCTGGACCTGGACCCAGCTGTGTGTCCATGAAGAGTGACTGGTCTATGGACAACCTCTTGACTTCAAAGGTGGACACCACTCTGCTGATCAAAGGTCAGCATGTTAAATGTTTGTGTCTCTCCTGAGATGAGGTTTGGTGTCTTTGTTTTGATCACTTCATGTTCTTAACTCTTCACTTTTTTCAAACTGGTCTCACATTTTGCAGATCTTAGTCCAAATATCAAAACCACAGTTAAAATCTACAAACAGCTGGATGCAGGTTTGAGAATGTATAAGAACATTGTCTATGGAGCCTCCTCTTGCTCAATGGAGGTGAATGAAGTTTAGTTTTGAGCTACTAACAGTAAAGATGCAGCTGGACAGATAAACAACAACTGAAAGTCGCTATAAAACTCTGTATCGCTGAGAAACTGCAGATTCAGCTGAAAACTCACTACCAGAGACACCAACACATAAATATATCTATTAAATCTGCTTTGAGGACACATCTGATTTGTTATTTCATTGTTCAGGATCCATCGGCAGAGACCAGATTCTCCTGGACCCAGCTGTGTGTCCGTGAACAGCGACCGTCATGTCCCTGTTCACTTCAAAGCTGGACATAATGATGCTGAACAAAAGTAAGAATCTTAAATGTTTGTGTTGTTTTGTTGACTCTCCTAAAAAGAGCTCTCAGGTAGGTCTTGGTTCAGCACTGTTTTTTGTTAATTAAAAATAATAATAGACTCTTTATTTATTCCCAGAGGGAAATTCTCATGTCACATCAGCAGCACAGAAATGAACCAGGTTCAAAGAACAGTGCAAAACAAATGGCAAACACATGAGAAAGTAAAAATATTAAAAGTATGAGCATGCCCTTTTGTCTGCTGCTTACTGTAACTGTAAGTCCAGTTAGAGTCCAGTAGGACCTCAGCAGCCTCCTCGTCCGCTGATGTCCACTGAGACACAGCTGGATGAGTAAAACAGCAGCATTTTCTCCTGTCCAGTCTACCCTGCACCCAGCGGTGTTTCCATGGAAAGTGACCAGATCATACATTTTTATACCAAGATCTGGTATAGGTGTATGAGGATCTGTTTCTACCAGATATAACACAGCACATGTAACACTGTTTGTCATTATATGTTCAAATCATCATATTTCTTCACAGAGTTGATGAGCAGAGCTCAGAGGTTCCCAGTGGTCAGTCTGCCCAGCAGCATCAAACAGACCTGGACTCCATATTTATGGTGTGTAAATGTACAAGCTCAGCTACTACTGCTAATTACAGGAGCCAGCACAAAAATGTCATTGAAATTATTTCTATAAATTATTTTATATTTAATTTCTGGATGATGTTCACAGGCAGCCATAATCCATAAAGCTGCAGTCAGTCCCAGCTGATAACCTATTGTGAGATCAGATATTTTAGAGGAAAACTAGAATATGTTGGAGCTAACAGGAATACGCTCAGTCTGGGTGCTAGTTCTGTTTGTCACAGCAGAACATCACTTAAGACCAAATATGAAATAAAGAGCTGAGAGAGGGTTGATATGCTGTTTATTTCTTCCCTCTGCAGTAACAACATAACAGAATGTATGTTTAGCTGCATCGACACAAAGATACAAAAATACTCTTTTTCATTCACGCACTTGTAATGAAAGTTATTGCACTGCACAACTGTAGTCCATCACTCCACCAGCCCACTGATACGCACCAATTTTAACTGTGTGACGTCAGTTAGGCTACACTACCACCGCAGGGCTCCCACTATAGAATAACCAGCACCATATGGAAACAGTCCTCAATAACACCAACTTGTTCTACAGAACATCTGACTGATACACTCAGTATCAACATTTCTGTGATTTGCTTAATTTGTTCTTTAACAGCATTTACTCATTATGTAGAAATCTCAGCAAGCAATATGTTTCCTTTAAAAATATTATAGGAGACAGGGCAGTCCACAAAGTAAATAGTGAAGCAGCATTCTGATCCAGTCTCCATGCTGCACTCTGCAGACCAGCAGGCTTTCTGTCTGTCACAGATGATCTGATGTTGACTTCTACCAGTTCAACTTTACATTTTCTTCTGTTCCAGCTGCTCCAGGAAAACATTGGCAGGTTTGTGAAGAACGAGGTGAAGAAGTTCCAGAGAGTTCTGAGTCCAGATTACCCAGCATGCTTAGAGAGTCAGAGGGAGGATGAGGATGTTGGACGGTGAGGAGGAGGAGCAGAGGAGGAGCAGCAGAGAGGCATTTCTGAAGATCACACTGCACTTCCTGAGGAGAATGAAGCAGGAGGAGCTGGCTGAGCGTCTGCAGAGCAGTAAGAGGATTTGAACAGATTTAACATGATGGAAAGAGGAAATGGAGGCAACATGGGAGAAGTTTCCATTTCAAACTCTGCTGTTAATATGATGCACACATTTGGATCAGATCTATGAATTCTTCTGGGCTGAAACTCAGAAACTGTTCACAGCTGATGAGCTGAAGAGATTTCATGGAGGAGGAAAATAAATACCATCTTGATGTCTTAAAGTTTACATTTATCAGATTTACTGTAGCATCCACTTATTAATCACATTTCTTTTTCTTCATTCAGGAACTGCTGCTGCAGTGTGCCGACGTAAACTCAAGTCTAACCTGAAGAAGAAGTTCCAGTGTGTGTTTGAGGGGATTGCTAAAGCAGGAAACCCAACCCTTCTGAACCAGATCTACACAGAGCTCTACATCACAGAGGGAGGGACTGCAGAGGTCAATGATGAACATGAGGTCAGACAGATTGAAACAGCATCCAGGAAACCAGACAGACCAGAAACAACCATCAGACAAGAAGACATCTTTAAAGCCTCACCTGGAAGAGATGAACCAATCAGAACAGTGATGACAAAGGGAGTGGCTGGCATTGGGAAAACAGTCTTAACACAGAAGTTCACTCTGGACTGGGCTGAAGACAAAGCCAACCAGGACATACAGTTCACATTTCCATTCACTTTCAGAGAGCTGAATGTGCTGAAAGAGAAAAAGTACAGCTTGGTGGAACTTGTTCATCACTTCTTTCCTGAAACCAAAGAAGCAGGAATCTGCAGCTTTGAAGAGTTCCAGGTTGTGTTCATCTTTGACGGTCTGGATGAGTGTCGACTTCCTCTGGACTTCCACAACAATGAGGTCCTGACTGATGTTACAGAGTCCACCTCAGTGGATGTGCTGCTGACAAACCTCATCAGGGGGAACCTGCTTCCCTCTGCTCGCCTCTGGATAACCACACGACCTGCAGCAGCCAATCAGATCCCTCCTGAGTGTGTTGACATGGTGACAGAGGTCAGAGGGTTCACTGACCCACAGAAGGAGGAGTACTTCAGGAAGAGGTTCAGAGATGAGGAGCAGGCCAGCAGAATCATCTCCCACATCAAGACATCACGAAGCCTCCACATCATGTGCCACATCCCAGTCTTCTGCTGGATCACTGCTACAGTTCTGGAGGAGGTGTTGAAGACCAGAGAGGGAGGAGAGCTGCCCAAGACCCTGACTGAGATGTACATCCACTTCCTGGTGGTTCAGTCCAAACTGAAGAACGTCAAGTATGATGGAGGAGCTGAGACAGATCCACACTGGAGTCCAGAGAGCAGGAAGATGATTGAGTCTCTGGGAAAACTGGCTTTTGAGCAGCTGCAGAAAGGCAACCTGATCTTCTATCAATCCGACCTGACAGAGTGTGGCATCGATATCAGAGCAGCCTCAGTGTACTCAGGAGTGTTCACACAGATCTTTAAAGAGGAGAGAGGGCTGTACCAGGACAAGGTGTTCTGCTTCGTCCATCTGAGTGTTCAGGAGTTTCTGGCTGCTCTTCATGTCCATCTGACCTTCATCAACTCTGGTGTCAATCTGCTGGCAGAAGAACAATCAACCTCCCGGCTGTCTAAAGTCTTCAGAGACAAACTTAAACTAACACATCTCAACCAGAGTGCTGTGGACGAGGCCTTACAGAGTCCAAATGGACACCTGTTCCTCCGCTTCCTCCTGGGTCTCTCACTGCAGATCAATCAGACTGTCCTACGAGGTCTGCTGACACAGACAGGAAGTAGTTCACAGACCAATCAGGGAAACAGTTGAGTACATCAAGAAGAAGATCAGTGAGAATCTGTCTCCAGAGAGAAGCATCAATCTGTTCCACTGTCTGAATGAACTGAATGATCGTTCTCTAGTGGAGGAGATCCAACAGTCCCTGAGTTCAGGAAGTCTCTCCACAGATAAACTCTCTCCTGCTCAGTGGTCAGCTCTGGTCTTCATCTTACTGTCATCAGAAAAAGATCTGGACGTGTTTGACCTGAAGAAATACTCTGCTTCAGAGGAGGCTCTTCTGAGGCTGCTGCCAGTGGTCAAAGCCTCCAACAAAGTTCTGTAGGTGGATAAATGGATGTGCAATTTCTAAAACTGTATATTTGACAAATAAAACATTCAGTTTGTGTCCATTGCTAATCCTTTTTCAGGTTGAGTGGCTGTAACCTCTCAGAGAGAAGCTGTGAAGCTCTGTCCTCAGTTCTCAGCTCCCAGTCCTCTAGTCTGAGAGAGCTGGACCTGAGTAACAACAACCTGCAGGATTCAGGAGTGAAGCTGCTGTCTGCTGGACTCGAGAGTCCACACTGTACACTGGAAACTCTCAGGTCAGTAATAAGCTGTTTCGTTTAAATCCTCCTCATCTGATTTTAGGTTCAGTTAGTGAAAATGGTCTGTAGGTGTTTCCTGCTGACATGATTTTCTAAAACACAGAGTTTATAATGTTTTCCTGATTCCAGGCTGTCAGGCTGTCTGATCACAGAGGAAGGCTGTGCTTCTCTGGCCTCAGCTCTGAGCTCCAACCCCTCCCATCTGAGAGAGCTGGACCTGAGCTACAATCATCCAGGAGACTCAGGGGTGAAGCTGCTGTCTGCTGGACTGGAGGAGCCACACTGGAGACTGGACACTCTCAGGTTTGGACAGACAGCAAGAGCTCACACACTGCAGATGTCTCTAATTTCTGTTATTTTCTGTCTATCTACTGGAGTCCATCATCATGAAGGACTTCTTATTCCTCCTCATTCTGTTCAGAGCAGTGAGTAGGCCTGAGATAGGAAACACACGGCTCTCCAGAAGTCTTATCGATTGGAAACCATTAGAAACATCAGAAACTTGGATGTAAATTCATTCTAATGTGAGACCTGCTTGCAGCATTTCTCTATGGATAGAATCAGGGGTGGACTGGTAATCTGGCATACCAGGTAAATGCCTTGTGGGCCGACGAAACTTTGGGGCCAGTGTAACATAAATTACTTATTTATTCAACTGTTTTAAAAAATGGGCCAACGGTCGGCCTATAAAGCATGTACCGCAGCACATTGGGTAATTTTCTATACTGACACCGCCCCTGCCTTCTGTTTCTTTCATATGTTTCATAGAAGAAACATCTGCGTTGTCCAAAAAAACTAACTTAAGCTAAAAAAAGAGCTACAGATTACTGCATTATTCTATTACATTTTTATATTCTGAATCATCACTTGCCAACTGAATTTGTGCTTCCCTTTACATAAAGAAAGACATTCCACCATAAATTGGTGCAGAAAATATCCCCAGAATGCAGGAAATTAAGTGTTTAATGCTCAAAATAGTTTTCAAATATATTCTTGTCTTGTTCTCGTGACCCCAATCTTGTGCAATGTCACATCTCATGGGCAAAGTGTTTCGTCACCCCCCTAATCTGAGCTTGCTGTCGGTCTTTTTTTCTTCCTTTTTAATAATATCAAATAGCAACATATATCACCAATCTTAACATTGCAATGGATACATCACATTAGGGATACCGATGTATTTATAGCTAGGGGGTACAATAACAGAACAATACAGCGAAAATAAATAAGGATATCACAGATATCTGTGAAGGTTCTCAGAAGGTTAAAGTCAAGGGCAACTGGACTTGGTTGAAGGATATCACAGACCTTTAAGTGAGTACAGACATTAAGGAGCCTATCTTCAAAGCCTTTCTGTTGGAGGAGAAACTAAACAAAAATAGTTTCTTTCTCAAAGACTATAAATGGGGTTTTTGATTGTAAATTTGCATTTGTGTTTATGAAATTTAGCCAGAAACAACATAAATTGATTAAGAAATAATGGTCGCAGTGTTACACTAAAAAAGATATTCTGCCAGAACCAGCAGAAACCTGAATATATCTAATCATTAATAAATGTACATACTGTACATCCTGACAAAACATATGTAATGCCGTTTCTGTATGAGTCTCACAGAAGGTACAGTTCTGCATCGCCGCGACATGTTGTTGCATTTTTGGGGAGGTGCAGGTCAGGTTACAGCTTAGATTCGAAAATTATGATTTTGCTGCATTTAAAAAAGTGCTCTGCCGGAGAACTTTCATCAATATATCAATCAATTTAGTTTATACAGCACTTTAAACAGGGTTCGAGTTACGTGGGAGCCAGTGGGAGCTCAGCTCCCATAAGGAGGTCTGAGCTCCCATGGAAGCAGTAAAATCAGCATCTGTTGCGGTCACTAATTCATTCTTCAACAACCATTATTTTGAATCACACAATGTATTTTTATTGTTATATTGTTATTATTCACATTAAAAAGATAAACAGACTTAAATGAACATACTTTCCTAATGAACTAATGTTACGCTGCGCACCGCATGACTGACAGGATGGTTCCACTTCTCCACCATCAACCACTATGGTGCGCAGTATAGATTTGACTGAACAGGTCTGAGACCGCGACCCGCAAACATTTGGTGTACTGGGACTTTTTCAAGTTGCCGGTCCTCTCCTCTGCCCTCTCCACATCAGGTTCTCTGGGCGCTATGCATGGGCGTAAGTTTCATCTCACAGTAGGGGGGGGAGTAAACATAAAATTTCACGAGAGCAATTTTTGAGGGGGAGACAAAAATACAGCCAAAATTGTACTTGTAGGCCTCTAGGATGCGTGTACACAGAGAGAAGTCTTACTACTATTTTATATATAACACAAAGCAATAGTTGTTTAAATATGACTTCAGTTCATAGGTTCACCACACAGCCGTATTATCATAAATAACTTGAGTCCTCTAGGCTACATAGTAATTTAGGTTTCTTCTGGGATAGAGGATGTTTCTTACACACACATATCTATCTATCTAATACACTGCTCAAAAAATACTAGAAACTAAAATAACACATCCTAGATCTGAATGAAATAATCTCATTAAATACTCCTTTCTTTACATAGTTGAATGTGCTGACAACAAAATCACACAAAAATTATCAATGGAAATCAAATTTATCAACCCATGGAGGTCTGGATTTGGAGTCCCACTCAAAATCAAAGTGGAAAACCAAACTACAGGCCGATCCAACTTTGATGTAATGTCCTTAAAACAAGTCAAAATGAGGCTCAGTAGTGTGTGTGGCCTCCACGTGCCTGTATGACCTCCCTACAACGCCTGGGCTCCTGATGAGGTGGCGGATGGTCTCCTGAGGGATCTCCTCCCAGACCTGGACTAAAGCATCCGCCAACTCCTGGACAGTCTGTGGTGCAACGTGGCGTTGGTGGATGGAGCGAGACATGATGTCCCAGATGTGCTCCATTGGATTCAGGTCTGGGGAACGGGCGGGCCGGTCCATAGCATCAATGCCTTCCTCTTGCAGGAACTGCTGACACACTCCAGCCACATGAGGTCTGGCATTGTCTCGCATTAGGAGGAACCCAGGGCCGACCGCACCAGCATATGGTCTCACAAGGGGTCTGAGGATCTCATCTCGGTACCTAATGGCAGTCAGGCTACCTCTGGCGAGCACATGGAGGGCTGTGTGGCCCCCCAAAGAAACGCCACCCCACACCATTACTGACCCACCGCCAAAGCGGTCACGCTGGAGGATGTTGCAGGCAGCAGAACGTTCTCCACGGCGTCTCCAGACTCTGTCACGTCTGTCACATGTGCTCAGTGTGAACCTGCTTTCATCTGTGAAGAGCACAGGGAGCCAGAGGCGAATTTGCCAATCTTGGTGTTCTCTGGCAAATGCCAAACGTCCTGCACGGTGTTGGGCTGTAAGCACAACCCCCACCTGTGGACGTCGGGCCCTCGTACCACCCTCATGGAGTCTGTTTCTGACCGTTTGAGCAGACACATGCACATTTGTGGCCTGCTGGAGGTCATTTTGCAGGGCTCTGGCAGTGCTCCTCCTGCTCCTCCTTGCACAAAGGCGGAGGTAGCGGTCCTGCTGCTGGGTTGTTGCCCTCCTACGGCCTCCTCCACGTCTCCTGATGTACTGGCCTGTCTCCTGGAGCGCCTTCGTGCTCTGGACACTACGCTGACAGACTCAGCAAACCTTCTTGCCACAGCTCGCATTGATGTGCCATCCTGGATGAGCTGCACTACCTGAGCCACTTGTGTGGGTTGTGTGATTGACTTGGAGTTACATTGTGTTGTTTAAGTGTTCCCTTTATTTTTTTGAGCAGTGTATATGTGTGTGTGTGTGTGTGTGTGTGTGTGTGTGTGTGTGTGTGTATGTGTATATATATATATATATATATATATATATATATATATATATATATATATATATATATATATATATATATATATATATATATATATATATATATTATATATATATATATATATATATATTATATTTCTAAACATTTATCTATTTTACACCAAGTTTGTGATCTTTAGATTGCGTAAATCTCATCTTTGTTAGCACTTTCCAACTAAAAGTTTGACCGGTCTTTCGAGAACTCTCCATATTGAATCATATATCATTTGAAAGTTTTCTACAGCACAACGTTAGCTAGTCCAAATCAAGTCATATTCCTCGCCCTTTAAAGCAGTTAGAGCATCATCATTTTACACACGTTTTTTAAAATATCTTATCATCCTTATTTCATGTGGCATTTTATCTGTAAATATAAATAATCCATGAAAAACAATATCTTGATAAACTCTTCTGTAAATGTCTTGAGTCTTATCAATATGCTGGAAAATGGATTTGCCATACACAGACCTGTATGTGTAGCCAACAAAAGCACTTTCGTATGACGGTCACATCACGTACATCAAATCCTTGTGACTTTGCTGCAGGGGAATAAAGACACGAGAGACTGAGTTTACTTTCTATTGTGTTGCTTGAACAAAAAGCTCTTGTGAAAAGGATCAGGGTCCAGTCTGACCACCTCTTCCTCTAGTGAGGAGGAAACTTTGATATGTAGAGCGAGACACTTAACCCTTCGTTGCTCCAGAGGCGTCAACCTCTGACATGTATAGCAATTGTAAGTCGCTTTGGATGAAAGCGTCAGCTAAATGAATAAATGAAAGCAGAAAGTCAAATGTTAACAATAATATATATACAGTGGGGCCAAAAAGTATTTAGTCAGCCACTGATTGTGCAAGTTCTCCTACTTAGAAAGATGAGAGAGGTCTGTAATTTTCATCATAGGTACACTTCAACTATGAGAGACAAAATGAGAAAGAAAAATCCAGGAAATCACACTGTAGGATTTTTAATGAATTTATTAGTAAATTATGGTGGAAAATAAGTATTTGGTCACCACAAACAAGCAAGATTACTGGCTCCCACAGACCTGTAACTTCTTCTTTAAGAAGCTCTTCTGTCCTCCACTCGTTACCTTTATTAATGGCACCTGTTTGAACTCGTTATCTGTATAAAAGACACGTGTCCACAGCCTCAAACAGTCAGACTCCAAACTCAACCATGGCCAAGACCAAAGAGCTGTCGAAGGACACCAGGAAGAAAATTGTAGACCTGCACCAGGCTGGGAAGAGTGAATCTACAAGAGGCAAGCAGGTTGGTGTGAAGAAATCAACTGTGGGAGCAATTGTAAGAAAATGGAAGAAGTACAAGACCATTGATAATCTCCCTCGATCTGGGGCTCCACGCAAGATCTCATCCCGTGGGGTCAAAATGATCATGAGAACGGTGAGCAAAAATCCCAGAACTACACGGAGGGACCTGATGAATGACCTGCAGAGAGCTGGGACCAAAGTAACAAAGGCTACCATCAGTAACACACTACGCCGAGAGGGACGCCAGGCGTGTCCCCCCCCCTGTACATGTCCAGGCCCGTCTGAAGTTTGCCAGAGAGCATATGGATGATCCAGAAGAGGACTGGGAGAATATCATGTGGTCAGATGAAACCAAAATAGAACTTTTTGGTTAAAAACTCAACTTTGGAGGAAGAAGAATGCAGAGTTGCATCACCATACCTACTGTGAAGCATGGGGGAGGAAACCTCATGCTTTGGGGCTGTTTTTCTGCAAAGGGGACAGGAAAACTGATCCGTGTCAAAGGAAGAATGAACGGGGCCATGTATCGTGAGATTTTTAAGCCAAATCCTCCAAACGTGACTGGGTCTTCCAGCATGACCATGATCCCAAACACGCCACTCGGGCTCGGTTAAAAAGCATTTCAAGGTCCTGGAGTGGCCTAGCCAGTCTCCAGACCTCAACCCCATAGAAAAGCTGTGGAGGGAGTTGAAACTCCGTGTTGCCCAGCGACAGCCCCAAAACATCACTGCTCTAGAGGAGATCTGCAGGGAGGAATGGGCCAAAATACCAGCTACAGTGTGCAAACCTGCTGAAGACTTACAGGAAACGTTGACCTTGAGTACTGACCAAATACTTATATTCCACCATAATTTACAAATAAATTCTTTAAAAATCCTACAATGTGATTTCCTCTCCTCATTTTGTGTCTCATAGTTGAAGTGTACCTATGACAAAACAGACCTCATCTTTCTAAATGGGAGAACTTGCACAATCAGTGGCTGACAATACTTTTTTGTGTATCTCTCAAAATAAATCATACGTTGAAAATGTCATGCTTTTTTGACAAGCAGCACATCTATTAAAGTAACAATGTTTTTCCACTGGTTCTCAGTTTGTGAGGAAATACATTTTGTTGTAATATTTGGGCGTTTCTGTCTGATTTAGATCTCTCACGTTGTTACTGTTTGGAGCAGGTCTTTATTCTTTTGCTACTCTGGAATGAAGTTGGTTCAATATAAATAAAAGTAGCTCAGATGTAGTAAAGGACTTTTGCCATGTTGCTGTAGCTGAGCTTGCTACGTTTCTCCTGGTTGTAGCTTCAGTGTAGTGACGCTTAATTTAATGTAGAGTTAACTGGTAGCTTGGCTCACTTCACTTTCCAAGTGGTTTGTCCAACACTGTAAACACTAGTGTTTTGTTAATTATAAATACAATTGTTAAATATTTAAAGCAGAGGTCACTAATAGGCGGACCGCCGACCTACAGCCCATTTATTATTGAGACTTACTACCTCGTGACGGAGCGTTTCTATTTTAACACGCGCAGCTTTTCTAGCATTTACTGTACTGGTTTAGAGGACCAGGAAACTCACAGACCAATCGCACGTGCTCCAATCGTCTCATGTGACGCTGCTCAGCCAATCAAATCTGTGCATACCGAGGCTTGCGAGTCGAGTCCGCGAGATTCACCAGAGACGTTTTGGAAACACACCCGAATTGAGGAGACGAAAGATAAAAGAGATTTCACATGACTTTTAATCAAGAATGTACAGATTTTTACATGTACATTCCTCCCACGGGCAGTTCAAAACCAGAATATCTCATAGATCTCCAACATGCGAGCTGGAGCTCACGTTTCTCACTGAACAACAGAAAGTAGGAAAGTGGTAGCTCTGTAAGAGGAAATGAAAGAGAAGAGGAGGCATTACAGCTGTTCATTTGTGTGTTTATTATAAAATTGGTTAAGACTACACTTCATCACTTCAAGCTACACTTTTTATTACATTTTTCTAAAAATTAGGCACTTTAGTTTACTTAAATTTAGAATTTATTATTTGAATAGTTATTTATTATGCCTCCAGTTTGATGTGAAAACTGACTGAAATATTATTTGATTTGACAGTCCGTTGTTGACTAAAAACATGTGTTGATACAACTATAGGTTATAGTACTGAATGATAATGCAAGTTCGTCGTTTTGATGTTCCGGACCTTTGCTTCAGGAAATTTTCTCTAACTAGACCTCTTTGAAATCTAATTGAATACCCCTGATCTAAAGCAAAACAAATGCGCACATTTAGATGCATATAATTATTTGCTGCTGAGAGAAACACCTTTATTCTCTGTTAACTTCATCATTTAGCCTCATCTGTCTCTGTGAAATAAAGTCCTTTATTGATATGAAATTCCCAAGTCAGTTTTATTAAGTGCAAAATCACAAACTTGTCTCAAAGCTTTACAGTCTGTACATCATGTGGCCTCTCTGTCCTCAGACCCTCTGTTTCTGACAGAAATTACTCAATACAAGTTGAATCTGATCTGAGAACAGTCTGGAAACAGTTTAGTTGTTCATGTGTGAATGCTGGTCAAACTGTTTATTTAGCGGGACAACATGCAGAGGACAATATTTGACATCCTGCTCTCATATTAGTTGTCTTCTTCTTCAGGTCCTTTTCTCAGACAGTGAAAGAATCCTGGAGACAGTTGACACAGATGAGTTTCAGCCTGTTTCTCTGTCACACTGACAAACTGAGGAACACTGCTTCATGTTGAACAGCAGTTAGGACTCATGTTGGATAGAAAATCACTCTGACTGTGTTTCTTCCTCCAGGGTGGACCATGGTGGAGAGCAGAGGTTAAAACCTGGTCTGAGGAAGTGTAAGTGTGGATTCAATCTGACTCATGATGACAAAACAGCACACAGTCAGTTTCTCTTAATACAAAGTTGATAGTTGTGATATTTATTCATTCAAACATTACTGACTAAATGCATCATCATTAAACTTTATAGAAATGAACAACATCAGCACACAAACAAAGAATAAACCTTCAGATGTGTCTGATGATAAACTGCTGCTGTGTTGTGTCTCGTTCTCTCCATCAGATCTCTGTGAACTCACACTGGACACAAACACAGCACACAGAAACCTCAAACTGTCTGACAACAACAGGAAGGTGACACATGTGACAGAGAAGCAGCCATATCCTGATCATCCAGAGAGATTTGACTTCTGGCCTCAGCTGCTGTGTAGAAATGGTCTGACTGGTCGCTGTTACTGGGAGGTCGAGTGGAGAGGAGGAGTTTATATATCAGTGAGTTACAGAGGAATCAGAAGGAGAGGAGACAGTAAAGACTGTGTGTTTGGATGTAATGATCAGTCCTGGAGTCTGATCTGCTCTGATAGTCGTTACTCTGTCTGGCACAATAACACAGAAACAGTCCTCCCTCTCTCCTCCTCCTCCTCTAACAGAGTAGCAGTGTATGTGGACTGTCCTGCTGGCACTCTGTCCTTCTACAGAGTCTCCTCTGACACACTGATCCACCTCCACACCTTCAACACCACATTCACTGAACCTCTTTATCCTGGGTTTAGGTTCTGGTTCTGGTCCTATGGTTCCTCCTCAGTGTCTCTGTGTTCTGTGTAGGAGGGAGACAACTTCCAGTCCTGTGGTTTAAATGTTGGTGGTGGACGAGGCTTCACTTTGGTTAACATCTGGCTCACTGATTGTGCCTTTAATGTCAGAAATGTGTTTTCTTAGAAATGGTGAAATGATCTCAGGGCTGAACTTGTTGTGTACAAACTGTGTTGACTCTGATTTTCACTTTAATAAAGTTTTCTTGGAGCAGCATCTAGTAGCTGCTGATGGCTGCAGAGCTTCTCATTTATTTCAATAAAGGTTTGAAAACAAAAACTCAACAAATGGTCTTGATTTATTCTGTTACTCAAGTACATTTCTTTTCCTGCTGAGTTTGATCCTCACAAAGGCTAAATCAAAAGATAAGTCAGGCAGGAAGGAAGTGAAGCCTTGAAGGTTTATTATTATATATAATAGGATTTAGTTTTTTCTCTCAATATTATTTTAATTATTTTATGAAATGAAGTTGTGTCAACAAACATAGTTCATGCAACATACTCCGGTACAGTAGGTGGCGTATGCACCTTTAAAAGTCATGGCTGCAATCTGCCATAAAAGAACACCAGTGTGTGCTCTACAGGTGGAAGCGGGAGAAATGCCATCGAACATCCGACGTAAACAATTGCTTGTAAATTATTGGGTAAATCTAAAAGGGCATGGAGATAGTCATCCAACTAAAATAATATTACAAGAGAATTGGGAAAGGGAGAGAGCACAAAAGTTCAGTTTTGGGTGGGTAGAGATGAGGCGGCTAGAGAATTGGGAGTGTATGAAAAGGAATTCTGCCCAACTATAATATGGCCTGATACACCGGTATGGAAGCTAGAAACCATGGAAGTTGATTTTAAATTACTTCGAGTTAAAACAGTAAGTAATAGTACAGATCTGGTAGCGGAATTTTATAGACATATAGATTTTAAATATAAAGAGTATATTCAGATTTATACAGACGGATCTGCAGTTTACATTTTCAACCAAAGAGGTGAGATAAGCAGACGAACCACAAATGATCTGAGTGTGTATGCAGTTGAATTATATGCTATTAAGATGGCGCTAGAATGGATTGAGGAAAACAAAATCAAAAAAGCTTTAATTGGAAGTGATTCAGTGTCAGCTTATACAGTCTCATGACTGGTATATCTAATAGTCATCAGGATTTACTGTATTCAATATTGATAATATACACAGAATAAGGGAAAAATGCTATGAGATTCAATTGACTTGGATTCCTGCTCATATTGGCATTGTGGGTAATGAGAGAGTGGACAAGTTAGCCAAACAAGCTGTTAAAAAAGAGAGTATTGAAGGAAATATTAAGTTGTCAAAGTCTGAAGGAAAGAGTATAATATGGAAAGAAGCATTAGAGAATGGCAACATCAGTGGGATATGGAAACTAAAGGGAGACATTTATATGCTATACAAAGTAAAGTTGGGGCGGTGAAGAATAGGGGAGGGAATAGAAAAGAAGAAATAGTTATGACCAGATTAAGGATAGGTCACAGTAATTTGAATAGCACATTACACATTATAGGGAAGCACCCAACTGGTTTTTGTGGTTGTGGTCAGGTTGCAGAAACTATAGAGCATGTGTTTTTGAGTTGCAGACAATATGAAGAACAGAGGAAAAATATGATGGAAGAGTTAGGAATAGTTGGAACAATAGGGACAGGAATGAAGGAAATACTGGAAAGTGGGGAGAATGAACAAAGCAGAGGAAATATTTTCTTATTTTTATCAAGAATAGGTATGATGAGAAGAATATGATGTAACTGGACATGACAGGAAATAAAGCCGGAAGATGGCGGTAGTGCAACGATAATGGATGCAAGCTGCCGATAAACTCTAAAGAAGAAGAAGAAGAAGAAGAAGAAGAAGCCATAAAAGAAGAAGAAAAACACACTCCCAAAGGTGGGACAACGCGAAACGACTCGGCGGAACGGTCGGAAAAAACGCCAACGAGGAAAGGAGTAGACTGGATGATTCACGGCTAGGAGGAGTTGTACGGTTTGGAGGGCGATTCAAATTACTTTGTGACTCATTAATCTTACAAGGGACAAGTAGTTGATATCTCAATTGGCATCTCCTGTGAGAGTTTGTGTTGTGAGCTGAAGCAGCAGGCAGCTCCCCAACGAGGGATGGGCTATGCCGCCGAAGGGGAAAACTAGTGATGGTGCTGGGAGTAATGACAAAAAGTCCAGACAATCTGAAAAAGAGATAGATCTGACAATGGAAGTGGAAGTGAGAGTGACGAGTCCCAAAGCACAAGGAAAATGCCAAGATCTGAAGAGGAGGGTGGATTTAGGATGATAGTTAAATTCAAAGATAAAAGTGACAAAGCCTTAAACCCACTCAGACTATCGGAGGAGCTAAAAAACAAAATGGGAAAAGTTCTAAATGTTAAAATGATGATGAATGGGAATATACTTGTTTTTGCAGAAGTGATAATCAGAGGTTGAATGCCCTTAAAGTTCGGCATTTGCTTAACAGGCCTGTTGAATGTTTTATTCCTGGTCAGGCTAAAAATGCTAAAGGAGTGATCTATGTAAGCCTTGAGATAGAAGAGAGTGACATCTTGAAGAATTTAAAGGGAGCTGAGGTTGAAGCTGTACGGAGATTCAAAGAAACCGGTACTGCTGTGCTATTAACATTCAAGCAAGATATTGTGCCAGCGAGGGTCAGCCTTGGATATATTAGCTTGCCAGTGAGACAGTATATTCGTCCCCCACTGCGTTGTTACAATTGTCAACGCTATGGCCATGTAGCAGCAGCATGCGGAGGGAAAAAAAGATGTGGGAAGTGTGGAGGAAACCATGACTTTATTCAATGTAAAGCTGATATAGTCAAGTGCTGTAACTGTGGCGGAAATCATGTATCTTCATTTAGGGGGTGTGAGCATCATGTTAGAGCTGTGGGAGTAGAGAAATTGAGAGTTGAAGGCAAAATCTCATATGCAGATGCCCTGAAGAAAGTGAGGGGAACGGGGGAACCTTCCAGACAAGTGGTAGTTGAAGTACCTTCTGATTCCCAGCCTGATAGGGAGAAAGTGAGGCAGATTGTGGGAACCCAGTCATTCCTGGCATTCATGGTAGATGTTCTGTGGGCAGTTAGAGACCAAACCAGAAGATCTGACGTTATTAAAGTGGTGGTGGATGCTGCAGAGAGATTTCTGGAAGAGGCATGTATGGGTCCTGAAGAGTTGCACAAGTATATGAGACAGAAACTGGAAGTTTACGAAAGAGGTAGGGGAAAACAAAAGATCACTGACAGTAATGAGGAATGTACTGGGGAAAGAAACATGGACATAAATGATGATAGTAAATTGCTGATGTTTTACATCTTACAATGGAATGCACGGAGTTTGATGGCTAATGGACAGGAACTTAAGAGATTTGTTGATGAATTTAAGGATCTACCAGAGGTGATATGTATTCAGGAAACTTGGCTTAAACCATGCTTAGATTTTGTGATTCCTGGATATGAAAGTAACAGATATGATAGAAAAGGAAAGTCTGGGGGAGGGTGTGCAACATTTATAAGATCAGATGTACAGTATCAAAATGTAGAGATAATGTCTAAACTAGAATGTGTTATAGTAAGAGTTGGGGACAGCACAGGTGGATTAACATAATAAACATGTATAATCCTTGTTTGCAAATAAATCTAAGCGAGTTGGAGTGGGTTATGGAAGAAGTAGGGACACCGGTCATTTGGGTGGGGGATTTTAACTCTCACAACCCTCTTTGGGGTAGCAGAATAAAAGATAATAATGGGAGCACTATAGAGGAATTTATGGACAGGTGGAGATTAGTTTGTTTAAATGATGGCAGGCCAACTAGATTTGATATTAGAACAGGAAATGTTTCATATATAGATTTGGCATTAGCGTCCAGTGAACTAGCTAGGGTTGGAGAGTGGGATTCTTTGGACAGATATACAATAGGGAGTGATCATTACCCAATATTATTGAGGTTTGGGAAAACTTTATTGAGTGAAGAACAGGGTAACCAAAACTTATTTAATTATAGTAAGGCAGATTGGGCATTTTTTTCTGAAAAGTGTAACAAAACTATAGAGGAAGTAAATGAGGAAGGGACAATAGAGGAATGGAATAGCAGCTTATGTGAAATAATTATGAAAAGTGCAATTGAATCTATCCCGATAAAGAAGTGTTCTAAAAGGAAAATTAGTGTGCCATGGTGGAACAAGGACTGTGATAAAGCAGTAAGAGACAGGAATTGTGGGTATAGAGCATTGAGGAAACATCCAGCAGAAGATAAAGAAAAATACTGTGGAAAACTAGGGGCAGAGACTGCAGTAACAGAAATATGGCGGGCAGTACATCGTATGGCAGGAAGTAATAGGAAAAGGAAAATGCCAGTTTTAGAGGAGGGAGGATTGTTTGCTACAAGTGATTTGGATAAAGCAAAGCTATGTGAAAATAACTTTAGAGCTGTTCACAGTGGAGCTAACATTGGTGAAGCAGGTATAAGGAAAAGAAATGAGATATTAGAGCAAAATCGATACAAACTTGAGATAAATAATGATAATTCTGATGTGGGTAATTTATTTTTCTCATTAGAAGAATTGCACAGGGCAATTGGAAAAGGAAGGAAAACAGCCCCGGGAAAGGATGGTGTTAGCTATGAGATTGTTAAGAATCTTAGTGACAAAGTTTTGGAGGAAATCTTGGCCTTAATGAATCACATATGGCAAGAGGGAAGTCTACCTAGCACATGGAAGCATGCACTGGTGGTTCCAATATTGAAACCAGGGAAAGACGCTTATAAGGCAGGATCATACAGGCCCATTGCACTGACATCAGTCCTATGTAAAATAATGGAAAGGATGGTTACAGACAGATTGGTTTATAAGTTAGAGAAGAAGGGATGGTTTACATCAGTACAAAGTGGATTCCGTAGAGGGAGAAGTACCATGGATGCCGTTACGTCCCTTGACAGTGATATAAAGAAAGCAATGGTGAATAGAGAAGTATTAATGGCGGTGTTTATTGATATTGAAAAGGCGTATGACATGCTATGGAAGGAGGGGCTTGTCATAAAACTATATGAGGCTGGAGTCAGAGGGAGGATGATTAACTGGATACAAGACTTCTTGAAGGACAGGAGAATTCAAGTTAGGGTTGCAAATGCTTTATCAGCTGGTACAGGTATCGATAACGGAACTCCTCAGGGTAGCGTGATAAGCCCAGTCCTTTTCAATATTATGATAAATGATATATTTGAAGAAATTGGGAATAGTTTTGGAAAATCTCTTTTTGCAGATGATGGGGCCATCTGGAAAAGGGGCAGGAATGTCAAACAAATAACTGAGCAAATGCAAGTAGCTCTGAACAAAGTAACTAGTTGGGGTGAAAAGTGGGGGTTGAGGATATCAGTGGAGAAATCAAAGTATATAATATTTGGTAATAAGAAAACTGAATGTGGTGGTTTATTTTTGTATGAACAAGCAATTGAGAGGGTTAAAGAGTTCAAATTTTTGGGTGTGCATTTGGATGAGAAGCTAACATGGAAAAAGCAGATAGATAATGTTGTAAATAAGTGTGAAAAGGTATTAAATGTAATGCGTTCCCTCTCAGGTAGCACATGGGGTGCAGGCAGAGATACTCAACTAATGATCTACAGGGCAATGATAAGATCTAGGCTGGATTATGGATGTGTGTGTTATGGGACAGCCGCTGATACACATTTAAAGAGGCTGGAAGTAATACAAGCTAAGGCACTGAGACTATGTTGCGGGGCCCTCCGTACAACTCCAGTCCCAGCTTTGTTGGTAGAGATGGGGGAAATGCCATTGTCAATTAGACGGGAGAAATTGGCAATGCAGTATATTGTTAAATTATGGGCACATAAAGGAGAACACCCTACAAAAATAGTTCTAATAATGCGTGGGAGTGGGGATCAGGGAAAAGGAGGAAGGAATGTTTTATGTTTAACATCAGAAAAAAATTGAGGAACTGGGACTGAAGGAGGAAGGGTGGCCCCGCAAGTGTACTGGTCAGTTGTACCACCGTGGTTGATGTCCATACCAGAAATAGATCTTAGTATAATGGATAACATCAAACATCATGAAGGCACAGAGTATCCCAATATGGTAAAGCGAAGACTGGAAAATCAGTGGGGAACTTACCTTCAGATATATACAGATGGATCCCAAGATCCACAAACTGGGAAGTCAGGCTTTGCTTTTTATATCCCACAATATGAATATGTAAAGCTTAAACGACTGTCTGAGGGGGTATCGGTGTATACAACAGAACTTCTAGCTATTATATGGGCACTAAAGTGGATAGAGGAAGTGCAACCAAGGAGAGCAGTAATATGCTCAGATTCGGCTTCAGTGTTAAAAACTCTGGGAGGAAGTAATATGGGAGCTCGGCCAGATCTGTTTATGGAGCTGATGGTTCTGTTGTATAAAATCGAAAAGGCTGGAGGGTCAGTGGGATTTCTCTGGGTCCCTGCACATGTTGGGGTAGAAGGGAATGAGGTGGCAGACAAGGTAGCAAAAATGACTCTGAAAAGAGATATTGATTTAGCAGTTTGTATTGGGGTCACTGAATGTAGATCTGTCATTAAGGAAAACACTATAGTAGTATGGCAGAGGCAGTGGGAAAAGGAAACAAAGGGCCGGCATTATTATGCAATACAAAACAAAGTAAAGACAGAGCAGAGTTGCTTGGGTAAATCCAGAAGACAAGCTGTAATTATGACAAGACTAAGGCTGGGACACTGTGGATTTGCATGGGATCTAGCGAAGATAGGCAAACATGAGGATGGGCTCTGTAGAACCTGCAATCAACAACAGACTGTTAATCATGTGTTTATGGAATGTCAACAGTATAAAAGGCAAAGAGAACAACTGTATTCTGAGGTAGCAGGAGATGGACAACAAGCAGTGACATTGAGAGATATTTTGAATCCTCATGAGAACCAATCAAGGATAGTGGAAGCAGTCATGGATTTTATATCTGCAACAGGATTAGCCCTCTGAGAATGAAGGTGCTATAAAGCGATACCGAGACTGAACTGTGGGTGGCAGCAATATGCCGTAAGGCATCTAGTCTGCCGGAAAGCCAGTAGAAGAAGAAGAAGACTCCCAAAGGTGGAACCAAAGTTACCAGCAGTTGTACCACACGGAGGTATTTCAGCAGGAGCCGGAAGTGAGTTAAAGTTGTGGCAACGCGCGGAATAGCTGAAGTTCTGAGTTAATTTAGTATTTGTGGAAGATTTGTGAGTTTATTCAGGTAAACATGGCGTCTAAACGTAAATGTGACGCCACGGTTCCTGCGGAGGAAAGTGACCAACTGCTCATCCGCCCGCTGTGAGTTCAAACACAACGTTTACCTGGTTTAGCCTCCGTGGCTGCTGCTCTCTCACCAAACTCCATTCAGAAAAACACCAATTTAGTAGATCTTCCTTTTATCAACAAAGGCCAAAGCTTTTTAAACTTGCTATTTAAACTTAACTATTCATTAGAGGCAAGGCTTCATTTCGGCGCAGACCAAATGTACCAAACATTATTTATTTAAGAAGGTTTTCAACGTGGAAATCTAACCGCGAGACTTGACGTTAACTTCAACAACATTCATTAAAATCAGATGCTTATTGGTGGATTCTAGAAATTCTGAGTTAATAATTTAACTGATTAATTAAATGAAATAACTGGTATTTGGCTTGTTTTGGCCTTTGCTGACAAAGTGTTTTAAAAGTGCTTAATTTTTGAATGGAGTTCTGCTTGATGTTCCTCTGGGGGCAGATATGCATCAGCTGGTCCTTCTGTTATTATTGGTTCTGCTGGGTTTGATAGCTGAGTTTAGTTTGTTAACGGTTCTTGGGGGAAGAGTTTTGTCTTTAAGGCTGAAACATCTGGATGTCAGTTAGACATGAAAGTGATGCTGTCTCTGTGTGTTTGTGTCCAGAGGAGCAGGACAGGAGGTGGGACGGTCCTGCATCATCCTGGAGTTCAAGGGACCAAAGATTCTGGTCTGTTTTTAATCCCATCAGCTGCACGGTATTCAGCTTTCAGTCACCTCAGTGTGTAAAAACGTGTGTGTGTTGTGGTTCAGCTGGACTGCGGGATCCATCCTGGTCTGGACGGGATGGACGCTCTGCCGTACATCGACCTGATCGACCCGGCTGAAATTGACCTGCTGCTCATCAGCCAGTGAGTTCCCAACATTTATCAGCACAGCAACCAGAGAACACTTTAATATACACACACTCAGCTGTACTAGCAGGTGGACTTTAATGTCCAAGTGTGTTGTTTTCCCTTCTCTGTACAGACTCGACCTGTGTATGAAATGTGCTTTCTAATCAAACTGCTTTGCCTGACATGATGCTGAGAAATCAGACCAACATAAAGGTCAGGGCTGATGTGGACCTGGAAACTCCTCAGTAACTGTTGCCCTCCCTCTCAGCTTCCACCTGGATCACTGTGGAGCTCTGCCCTGGTTCCTGCAGAAGACCAGCTTTAAAGGACGCACCTTCATGACTCACGCCACCAAGGCCATCTACCGCTGGCTGCTGTCCGACTACGTCAAAGTCAGGTAAGACCAGGACCCAGAGTCACATCAGACTCCCATACTACAGGGACCTGGACTCACCAGGACAGGATATGATGTACTGTGTTTAATATTCTTCTGTGTATACCATGTGGAGTATAACCTGCAGTACTTCAGCGTGTATAACCTGCAGTACTTCAGCGTGTATAACCTGCAGTACTTCAGCGTGTATAACCTGCAGTACTTCAGCGTGTATAACCTGTAGTACTTCAGCGTGTGTAACCTGCAGTACTTCAGCGTGTGTAACCTGCAGTACTTCAGCGTGTATAACCTGCAGTACTTCAGCGTGTATAACCTGCAGTACTTCAGCGTGTATAACCTGCAGTACTTCAGCGTGTATAACCTGCAGTACTTCAGCGTGTATAACCTGCAGTACTTCAGCGTGTGTTGTAGTAAAGCTGACCTGTTTTCTGCAGTAACATCTCTGCAGACGACATGTTGTCACGGAGACGGACCTGGAGGAGAGCATGGAGAAGATGGAGACCATCAACTTCCACAGTGCGGACGGTAACAAGTGGTGAACACAGCGGTGAGGTTCATTCAGATTTATTTAAATACGCTTTTTCCCACCACAATTTTGGCGTTGTCGGCTCGTCACACGCGCGAGAGGACTCGGACACTCGGAGCTGCAGGTGAAAAACCGTATGGCCAAAATACGGGTGAGACGTTGAGGGCCTGACGCCTGAGTGTCTGAGGCTCCCTCACCGCTGTGATCCACAAAGAACCTGGTGGCTGGCAACACTCTCTTTGTGGTGAGTAGACTGTTCAGGTGGAACGATTCTCGCTGCCTCTCAGGGTGAGCGTGACAGACGTGTCAGCAGGGCAGGCCTGGGGCCGCCGTGTGAATCGGCAAAGCTTTGTGTTAAAGGTACTATAGTCAAGAAATCACTGGGGGGCAGTGGATTTCTTATAGGTCTGGGACCTGCTGTTGCATCAGTTCTTTTGGGTCTGGGACCCACAGTAAAGTAGGGTGTGTGAGTCATAGGACTCGCAATAAAATTGAAGAAAAACAATTTTATTTAAAAGAAATTTTTTATTATTTTACTTGGGGTTGCTGCTCCAGGTGATTACCAAGTAATTAGACAGTATTGTTGAATGCTGAATGTGTTCACTACAGATGTATGAATGAAGTGCGAATGAAAACATTTTTTTGAGTGGGCATTGCAAACAGCCTTGTGTGAATGAATTGCGACTGGGGAAAAAAAAACACTAACAGACCGTGTGAATGTTGAACAAAGTCTTTTTGTAAACGGGATAGGATTTCCTCAGACTACTAGCTTTGTTAACATTTAATAGAAACACGTAAGAATTTAGACATTATATAGATCTTGTGACAACCTAGAATTCACCAGGTTTCACCACCGTGGAAAACCCCGGAAACGCCCATTTTATAAATGAGCCACACTGATTCGTTGCCGGATGGCGCGACAATTAAACCTCCTCCTTTTTGTTTTGTTTGTGCCAGAGAAACTGAACCAGTTTTATTTATCTTTTTTTTTGCTTTGGCACTGGACTGAATTTATTTTTGTGATTTTGAAATGAACTGCAACTCATTTGTGTTTTTGAGATTGTTTGGTTTAAGTGTGCAGAAAACCCGAAATGGAATTTTCAGTTGGTTTGTGTTTTACTTTGTGATTGTATTTTTGTGTGAAATCTTGAAATGCACCAATATTTTGTTTTGTACTAAGCTTTTGAGTTTGTGGTGTTTCTTTCTTTTATGGTCATTCAGTGTTTTTTTTTTTGTTGATTTAAAGCGGGCTCTTCAGTCTCCACCGACCCTGGGTCTCCCCGACTGTAACACACATTTCACCCAGACTGTTGACGAAAAGGGGGGGTACATGACCTCAGTACCACTACAAGACCATGGGGGACGACTGAGACCTGGAGCTTATTTTTCATCCAAACTGGACTCTGTTGCAGCCAAACTGCCTGAGAGCTGTGGCGGCTGCTGAAAAAGCAGCCATGGCATCACGTGACATTGTGGGTTATTCAGACTTGACATTGCTGGTTCCACATGCTGTCGATGATTTTGCTTGAACAAAAAACATCTCATCTCTCCACATCCAGGTGGCTGAGATACAAGACCGTGTTGCTTGATATATCTAACATTACTGCACTGTACTGAATCCTGCTACTCTCCTCCCAACTCCAGGTGAAGGACAGCCGCATGACTGTGTTGCAGTCATAACAGAAACCTGCTCTCTAAGGGCAACTTGCAGGAGACTCTCTAACAAACCCAGACATGGAGTTGTTTGTGGACGGCTCAGCATCACGTGATCCAGCTCCTGGTAAAAATCGTTTTTGCAATAACAACTTTGCATGAGACTATTTTGCATCATTTGTGCAACTAACAATGTGGGGCGGCCGATTCAGATCCCACAGGTGGCACACCCCCCCCAGACAAACCATTTGAGCACCTGCAAATGGACTTCATTGAACTGACACTGTCACAGGGGAAGAAATATTGTGTTGTCATGGTAGATATGTTCTCTAAAGGGGTAGAGGCATTTTCAACATCTAAACAGGATGCAGCAGCAGTTGCAAAAGCTTTGATAAGCCAGATCATCGCTGAGCGATCCCAGCTAAGATCTCCAGTGATAACGGCACACCTTTCATTAGCGCAGCACTGAAGAGTGTAGGGGAGGATATGGGGATTGATCTGAGGCAACATTGTGCTCATCATCCAGCTAGCGGAGGTGCAGTTGAATAAGAAAATGGCACATTGAAAAACAAGCTTGTTAAATGCTGTGAAGAAACAGGTTTAACATGGACAAAAGCTTTGCCAGTCGTTTTAATGCACATGAGAAGCCGGATGAGGGGCAGAGGGGGTCTCAGTCCTTTTGAAGTCCTATTTGGCAGACCATTGAACACGGGGATTGGGCCAGTAAAAAGACAACTCCCTGATACCAGCCAATGTGAGGATGAAATGTTGAGATATTGTGCTAATTTGTCCTCTGTGCTTTCTGAAATTCATATGCAGGTCAAAAACACCATCCCGAAGGCCGCAGAGAAGAAACTGCACGATCTGGAGCCAGGGGACTGGATTGTGGGAAAGGACTTCAGGAGAAAGGGCTCGCAGGTGGACCGGGCCATTTCAGATACTGCTAACAACAGAAACAGCAGTAAAAGTGGCTGAAAGAGCAACTTGGATTCACGCCACCCACTGCAAACGAGTGCCAAAGCAACCAAAAGGCCTCAAACCAGGCGAAGATGGAGATCAGTGATTGAGCTGAGCTTTCCCCTGCCTTGTGTTTCTAGGGAGGGAGGGGAGTGGAGGTCTCTGAGACCACCTAGAACCACTAATCTCCCAAACACTCACCGCGGGCACACTGAAACCAACAGATGGCTCTGGAGAGGTGACGGACCGAGACAAAACGGAGGCGTTGTTCTGCTCACTGTCATCATTTCCAAACATGAAAACAACAACTTGGCCTGACTGAGGGAAAGTTCCAGGCCGAAGAGGAGGAGATGCACGTCCTCTGACAGCCCGGCTGGGCTGAAAGACAATGCATGGTATGCAACCACGATGACCACTTCAAGAAAAGTAACCAATCAGAGCTGTTATGCGTGTGCACAGCTCCCTCATGGAGTGGGGAACTCCATACCAGTGAAACCCAGACCAATAAATGTTTCAGAGACACTAGGAGCCCTGTTAACCTTCACTCAAGGGTTTCCCAGGGTGGGCCGAGAAGTTAAGGATATGACCAAGACACTTAACTGTGTAACATCAGCATGGTCAACTTTAGGGTTAGGTTCTGGAACACGTCTCAGATAACCACCAGATGTACCTTGGACATGGGTGTCTTTCTATAGATCCAGATTGAGTGTCCCCTAGGGAACACTGAAAGACACCATGTTCTTTGATGAGATAGGACTCCGACCCTGAGACTAAGATAAAAGCTGCATGACCTGTTACGCTGCAGCTCACTCGGATGATACTCTCGGATGTGTATGTGTCCCCTTGAATTCCTTCTGCAGAAGACTTGAATAAAATTCACAGAAAGACAAGTGGCTTTTTCCCACCACACCGTCTACATTAAATCGACTGAAAATGCACATCTAGTGGCCGTTCATGTACACTGGGCATGCACGTGCCAGTGTAAACTTGAAGCAGATGGCGATTTGGCGAAAGAATAAAGTACTACAGACAAAGAACGCAACAGGTTTTTATTTTGCATGGACCAATAACAAGCTGGGACTGTTACTGAATGCAACACGGGAGTTAAAAGCAGCGGTGGTGGCGGAAAACAGACTGGGAGTTGTCGCAAAGTAAACATGCACAGTAAGTGCAGGCTGTAAGTGTTATTTGCACGGTACAGAAAATTTTGATAAAAATACCAAAATTCTGTCAGCAGCATCGTGTTTCTGCTTTGTATGACTTATAGTGAGGAAAATAAGTATTTGAACACCCTGCTATTTGACAAGTTCTCCCACTTAGAAATCATGGAGGGGTCTGAAATTGTCATCGTAGGTGCATGTCCACTGTGAGAGACATAATCTAAAAAAAAAAATCCAGAAATCACAATGTATGATTTTTTAACTATTTATTTGTATGATACAGCTGCAAATAAGTATTTGAACACGTGTCTATCAGCTAGAATTCTGACTCTCAAAGACCTGTTAGTCTGCTTCAAAATGTCCACCTCCACTCCATTTATTATCCTAAATTAGATGCACCTGTTTGAGGTCGTTAGCTGCATAAAGACACCTGTCCACCCCATACAATCAGTAAGAATCCAACTACTAACATGGCCAAGACCAAAGAGCTGTCCAAAGACACTAGAGACAAAATTGTACACCTCCACAAGGCTGGAAAGGGCTACGGGGAAATTGCCAAGCAGCTTGGTGAAAAAAGGTCCACTGTTGGAGCAATCATTAGAAAATGGAAGAAGCTAAACATGACTGTCAATCTCCCTCGGACCGGGGCTCCATGCAAGATCTCACCTCGTCACCCGAAGCACACAGCCAGGATAACCAAGGAGTGGCTCTGTAAGAAGCATATCAAGGTTCTGGCGTGGCCTAGCCAGTCTCCAGACCTAAACCCACTAGAGAATCTTTGGAGGGAGCTCAAGCTCCGTGTTTCTCAGCGACAGCCCAGAAATCTGACGGATCTAGAGAAGATCTGTGTGGAGGAGTGGGCCAAAATCCCTCCTGCAGTGCAAACCTGGTGGAAAACTACAGGAAACGTTTGACCTCTGTAATTGCAAACAAAGGCCACTGTACCAAATATTAACATTGATTTTCTCAGGTGTTCAAATACTTATTTGCAGCTGTATCATACAAATAAATAGTTAAAAAATCATACATTGTGACTTCTGGATATTTTTTTTAGATTATGTCTCTCACAGTGGACATGCACCTACGATGACAATTTCAGACCCCTCCATGATTTCTAAGTGGGAGAACTTGCAAAATAGCAGGGTGTTCAAATACTTATTTTCCTCACTGTACATATCAGCAACATCCCAAATCCTAATAATCTGTTACACTGTGGCACATTTCATCCTCATAGTGGCAAGAACTGAGAATCTGAACAATAAGCTGAAGCAAAAGAACACATTTGCATTTATTTGTCTTGAAAGCTGTTAAATAAAATTAGTATCACAATGTTTCCATCAACAGAGTTGCCCAACAGGTCCTTCACTTGATGTGGAAGCTGGCTGTTTATTTGAATCAGCCAAGCAGTTCTTGGAAGATGGTAACATCTAGCAAAGTGTTCTTCCTCCACAGCCTCCATCTCCAGGGATATTTCAGTGATGTTCTACTTTGTTTCCATCAGGTGAGTCTGGTTCTACTGCATCTGAAGAAAATCACATACAACTTGTGTAAGTTGTAAATTTAACTGTAAATCTGAAGTCGGCCTTTATTTGATGCAGGTGGCTCTAACCTGACTGGACTTCACACCACGTCTTCCTGCCGCTCTGAGTCTTCTGTCTGTGCTGCAGTGACGGCCTTCAAGTCTGAGACCTTCTTACACACCAGACCAGAGTCTAACTGATGGGAGAGACAAGATTAGGCTCAATATAGACCTCTTTCATGAAACCTGCAAATAATTAGATTTGATCAATATTTATTTTATTTAAAAGTAAATATACTTGCTGAAATTACCAAATATATTTCTGGTTTCTACTCAGCAATTTTTGTGAGCAATTTTGTATTTGGTTTCGTGTTGACAGAAAAAAAAGGCATCTACGTGTTCAGAAAAACAATACACACCTTCATTCTCTCATTCGCTCACCTAGACCAAGACCTTATGGTCTTTTCCTTTGTGAGACTGACACAGAGAGCTCTAAAGTAAGAATATTCCACCAACTGTGTAGTGATAGAGTACATGTTGGTTTCCACCGTATCACCAGGATTTTCTTTGCAGCAGTTAGGCTGGAAAGCCAAATAGTTTTTTCATGCACATGTAACCCATGTTAATGTTACCTTAAAACCACTAAAAGGGAAAACAAATAAAAATGTGATGTAAGCAAGCAAATAAAATTAGGCATTAAATCAGTAATTTAATGAGTGCAGCAGTAACAGCCAATCAGAGTGACTCTAGCGCCGCTTGCTGGAGAGAGAGGAAAAACAGAGCGAGAGCAGTTGACCTTGAGAAGGAAACAACAGAGAAGTCTGAAACCGACCGAGATGAAAGAGTAAAAAACAAGTTTTGAAGACTGTAAAACCTAATTTCTTTTCCATTTTTGGAGGATTTTGTGTTGCTTTTAGTCCACATTGATGGATTCTGTTTTTGGATTTGCTGAGTGAAAACTACTATTTACAACATGTAAATTATGCATTTCCTTGTTTTCTTTCGAGCTGAATATAACGTTAAGCCTAAGTGCCAGTAGCTAAACTAAAAAAATGTGAATTATGTTGTGTATTTTGTGGTTTTATATGTGTAAAAGAATTGAAAAGCTACATGCATCAGGCACGGTCAAGTTTAGCCTGGTGAGAGAATGGAGACGAACACCGCCACCATTTTAGGGTGCGGTTCAGATTTAATTTAACGTTTAACCTGTGTTTAGGTGCTAGTCTTCCTCAGTTAATTTTGTTGAAGATATAAAAGACTGAAATGTGTGTATTTCCCTGTTGTAACAGGCCAGGTTTTTTTGTTGTGAGGAGCTGCTTGGTGTTTATGCACGTGAAGCCGGGAAAGAAGATGGCGAACCACCCATAGAATAAACTGCGTCGGATACGGGTCTGTTCCACAAGACCAACCTGTACTCGCGGGATAAGGACACTGATTCGTTCACCTGAATCGTGGTAGGACTGAAACTTTATTATTTTGCTGCAGTGTGCTGTGAAGTTCATCTGGACTTTTAAAGGACTTAACAAAAGGACTAATTTAGAGTTGTGAGATTGAGTTGTTGATTATATGCTGATCTGTGAAGCAGTGTTTCACATTTGTATTTTGTGGTATTGTAATTTCCCTTATTTTGCCAAATTGGTGATGCAAAGTTTTTTTTGTTGCTGTAAACTAAAAAAACTTAACCCAAAAACTTATTGGTTAAGTGAAGTAAAGAGAAGGTAGAAACGAAAACTCTTAAAACAGGCCTCACTAAGATAAAATGAGAACTTAGAGCTTCTGACGCCAGTGTCTTTTTTCAGTTCATTGCAATGGGAGCGTCCATCACACCTTCTTCACTTTCCACAGCATATGAGACAAGTTATTATAACCGTGAAATAGGGGACGTTTTGTCAACAGGGCCTGTCTCTCTGTGTCTCTCTCACCTCTATTGTCTCTACAGGTTCATTTGGTTCAGTGCTGGAGCTCAGAGTTTTCTTCTCCCTGGATGGAGTCCAACATCAACAAATACTAATTTTAACATCATGAATTTCACAACACTAAAGTGAAGAAGTTTGAAGAATGAAAGACTGAACTGATGGATTCTGACTGTTTTACGTCGTCCACAGATTCAGGAGAAGCAGAGGAATCAGCATCAAGACCACCAGAGTCAACCTGATGATATTCATTATTATTGTTGAATTCCCTAGAAGTACAGAAAGACATGTGACATCACTCATTAGCAGGATTAGAGTAAGGATTAATAAATCACTTTGCCAGGTGATTCAATCTGTTAATCAGTCAGTCAGAGGTTTCTCACTGAACGTAGCTACAGAAAAACAGTCTTTGGAAATGTAGACAGGAAACTGTACCAGTTTTTGAAGTGAGAACGTGTTTGTTTTCACATATTAATATGTGAATCAGGTCTGGTGCAGTAAACGTCTGTGTGTGTAGCTGAATGCAGAAGTTTACCTGCCACAACAACCAGATGTAAGGTGGAGTTATGACGTCCTCTTCTGTTCTCAGCTTCACAGTAATATTTCCCACTGTGTTCAGCTCTGAACTCGGTGATGGTGAAGTTCTGTCCTGATGCTTTTGATGAGTCTTCGTTCTCCTTGTACCAGGTATAATTAGCTGCTGGGTTAGCATCACTGCTGCAGGTCAGAGTCACTGAACTGCCCTCCACTATTTCACCAGAGGGACTTGCTGACACAGAGGGAAGCTTTGAGGCATCTGGAAAAGATCAAATCAATGAACCAAATTGAGGATAATGTGTTGAAACGGGTAATAGTTATGTGTGTGGAAGCATCTGAAACTTTGGAGGTGGTTTTGTGACTGGCAGCAGGCAGAGCTGTGTGTTGGACCACTTGAGTTATATTCAACTTCCCTCATACATGTTTTAGGGTAAACAGAGGTAAGTATATCACCCAAAATATTTTATAAATACTGGAGTGATACTTTTCTGCAGGTGACTGATGTCGATACTGTAGCTGCACGGGGTTAAAAAAAATTAGCCCTTCCCACAATTCAAACAATGATGCCATGAAACAAAATCCAAAAGAAAAAGTATTTTTGTTTCCAGCTAAATGTATTTGAAAAAAACAGAAGAAGACAGGGTTGATTAAAGACAGAAGCCTTTGGCCACCGCATGCGTAGTAGAAGTATAACCGCTCGGGAAAAACACTTTTTAAACCTTATTTTGGGGCAAAGTTGTCAAAGTTTTTATGTCCCGGTGACCTCTATAAGTGCAGTTCTGGCTCTCTCCCCATTCATTCAGATAGGAACCTGGTCTTGTTAGTCGAAATAGCTGCCCGGAGGCGTTGCCAAGATGGCGGCCGAGTGGCAGGACCTGACCTTCAACATGAGCTTGAGCTTTAACAGTGCAGCATATTTTAATTAGACAATAATCCATGCAAACACAAAGTGGCGGTGCAGCTTGATTTCCTCCAACAGAAACTACATGGGTTCCTGTTGCCATGGATACAAGCTTGACACTTTGATACTATTAAGGGACAAGATGGTCAAATTAAGTCCACAAAACAAACCAAAACATAATCAGGGAACATCTATGACGATTGCCAAAGTCAGTTAATGTGCAGTACAACAGGTTAAAGGCTCCACCAGATGGTGTCATGTCAGTGGAAGACTGGATGTAAACTCACACACTGAAGGAGAGCGAGACTTCTCATTTCCTTGTACAGCACAGGAAACGCTGTCTGCAGGATCAAAGAAGCCTGAATAAGAATTAGATGTTTGTCCCCAAATACTCTGTCCATTCTTGTACCAGGTGTAGTAAGGATGACCAGGTAGACGACAACTGCTGTGACACTTCAGCTCTGCCCAGATATCAGACGTGTTGACCTGTAATCTGCTCACCTGCACCTGGAGATCTGATTATGTGAATAAGAAACAGAAGTCTTCATTTAGACTCAACTGTCAACACACAGACGCAGTTAATGATGATTAACACTTGGAAATATTCAGATGAAATGTTACCTGTGACAGACAGAGTGACTCCAGGTGAACCAGTATATGTCCCACCTGGTTGGTTTGTTATGAACCTGAACTTGTACTCAGCTGAGTCGCTCTCTCTCAGGTCTGTGATTCTCAGAGTGCAGCGGTTCTTAACAAAGATATACTCCACACGACCTGAGTTTGTTCTCAGATCCACAAATTCACCACCTTTAAACCAGAATCTTTTCTCAATAGTAGTATAAACGTAATTAATATAGGATGGATATGTGTAGGTGCAGCTTATGTCCACAGTTGATCCTTTGAAGGCACAGATCTCAGTAGAAGTGTAAGTCACTCCCCAGCCATTCAGACTCTGTACCCCTGTAACACAGAGCACATCAGAACAACAACCAAAATGAATCAGTTATTAAGACAAAGTAGATCAAACTTCTGATATGATTTGGGGAAAGGAAACCTGGACAAGCTTAATTATCTGACTGATTATCTGTAGTAATTCACATAAACAGTTCATAATCATGCATCTAACTAGAACTCACTGAATTTTATCATCATATTTTATCATCACTGGGACACAGGAATATTTGTTACTTCTGTGTGTTGCCTGAAAAGTGCATCTTACAAAAGTCCTCAAAACAGGAAATGTATTAAAACAATATCATGCACACTTTTCTGAGACAGAGCAGAAGTTCAGTGTGATGTAAAATCCAGTTGTTCTGTATCATTCTTTTGCTTTCTAAGTTCTAACAAACACAATGTGAGCGGCTTGATTTCCTCTTGTATTAGAAACTACACGGTGTGCTGTTACCATGGATACTACATGGACACTTAATTACTGAAGAAGTAGAGTAAAGACACGCTGAAGGAGAGTCGTAATCTTCACGTATTTAAGAAGTTTCTTCCATTAATTTGTTAGACTGCACCTAGAACTGGAACTGGAAAATATAATTTTATCATGTGTTTATTTTACCATTGTTGGGACATTTGTGTTCCTTCCAGGTGTTTTGGATTTGAAGATCTCAACGAAATGTCCTCCAAAATAAATAATGAATGAAAAGGACGATTTTCTGGCATGTGGGAGAACAGCAGTAGTACATAAAATAATCAGAGCTGTTCTGTATTATTCTTTACAACATGTTAACTTCCTTTTTAGGCACTTTCTAAAAAAAAACCCATTCTGAACGCAGGTGCGTCTGAAGGTGCAGGAAAGTGAACCTGTGACATTTACTGAAGTTTACTGGCCAGAATAAGAGGATAGAATAAGAAGTCATTAGAGAGTCTGGGCTTTTCTTGCTCAGTCCTCTCTGTTCAGTCTGGGGTTGCTGCTTAAGTGTGAAAACAAAAGGAAATGCAGAACACTGTGTGGCTTATAGCAGCTATGATATAAACAGTTTTCAACACAGAGCATGAAACATCACACTGACGTCAGATAGCACAAAAAGAACTCGCAGGGTTTGATGCAGATATATGGTGATATGAGAGAAGTCTGTATGTGATGACTGTGACACTCATTTCTTTCAAAAACCTGTACTGTTGCTAAAGTAGCTGCAGAAACTAACTGTGCACCACATGAGCTGGTGCTTCTACTACCAGGGTCGGCTATCGGACAAAACAGGACTATAGGTTTTTAAAGAGTGAGGAGAAAACACAATATACTCAGTTTACAGCATGTGAAAGTGCTCAGCAAACAGATACTTTATACAAAGGACAGAGGGAAAAAAACTAGCGTCCTGATATCCATTAAAATGTACACAAACGACAACTATATAAAGATAATTAAAGTCAGGGGAGTTTCCACAGTTATATAAAACCAATATTTGTAGCGTTTCTAGGAAGTTTGACTTTCACACAACTCTGATCCACTTATTTCCACATGTGACCTTCAGCCTACTTTTACAAGACCTACGTTTTCCCAGATTCCCCTCTTTTAATGTGATGAATGTGAGTTTAGATAAACATTACCTGACACAGAGAGAAGGAAGGCGACAAATCCTCTCGCTGCTGCAGGTAAACTCATAGCTGCTCCTCTCATCTCTGTGCGGCTTCACAGACAATAAAACATGTCAGCAGATCAAATAATGTACACAGGAGATGTACAGTATCAGTCACATCAATAAACAACTCTACTTACAATGAAGAAGGACGCTGTCTTTAAAGAAGCCTTTCCTCTGTGGTCAGTAAGCAGTAGATGGATATCAGGCTGTTACCACTAGATTTCCTTCCTCTTTAGATCATTAATATTCATAAGCTTAATAGCAGTTAACACTCACGTCACAATAAAGTTGTGTGAAGTATAAACTTAATAAGACAGAATAAGAAAATAGTGCTATGGCCTGAATCAGGACACTGAAACAAACATTTTGCTCTCCATCCAAGATTGTTTACTGAAATCTACTTTTGGTGCTTTATTTTCACATTTTATTATTAAAACGGTTTGCATTTTAACTTCTTTACCCAGGACATTTAATTCATTAAGCATTAGAGGTCCAGATTAAGTTCATATATCTGATATTGGGGGACCAACATCTTTGACACTCATGAAAATTCTCACAAAATGACTCAAAACGAAGTTGTTGCACTTTTATTCTGAAAAGCTTCTTACTAAAACCTCGACCTGCTCTGCTTCCATGAATGACCCAAAAGACTTTAAATGGACTAAATTGGCATTTACAGCCCAAATGTAAGTTAATATCTGTGCATCTACATATCAGCAACATCCCAAATCCTAACACTCTGTTACACTGTGGCACATTTCATCCTCATAGTGACAAGAACTGAGAATCTGACAATAAGCAAAAGAACACATTTGCATTTATTTGTCTTGAAAGCTGTTAAATAAAATTATATTATGAAAAGCTGAAATGCAGATCTTTATCACAACGTTTCCATCTACAGAGTTGCCCAACAGGTCCTTCACTTGATGTGGAAGCTGGCTGTTTATTTGAATCAGCCACAGGAGTAAAAATTTAAATTTCAAAATTTGAGACCTCTACGCATAGTGATTTTAGATCTGGACCTGGTCTAATGTGGTCTACATGCGAAAAAACTTGAATAAAGGTTTCACAAATCTGAAACTATGTTTAAAAGAAACTTTAGCCTCTGTGTATCAATCTAGTCCAGATTTGAGAGCTCTAAGTATAGTGGTTTTGGATCTGGACCTGGTCTAATGTGGTCTGCATGTGGACAGAAAAAGCAGTGAAATTGCACTTATTTTTCAAATCTAAACAAGTGTTTCAGACAGCCTTAACGCTTTGCTAAAATGCATAACAGCTTTCACAGCAGTACGAGGTGCAAAAAACGGAGAATCGGTCG